TGCTATGAGTCGGTACTGACTTGATGGCACCTAACAATAACAACAACATGAGCTGCGGGCCGGATGTTCCCCACCCCTGGCTTAGAGAGTTAGGCAGCTAACTACAAGGTCAGCAGCTCAAAGTCACCAGCTGCAGTGAGGGAGAAAGATGAGGCTGATGGTCCCATAAAGATTTATAATCTCAGAAACTATATAGGGTTGCTCTGAGACAGAACGGACTCTGTGGCAGTGAGCTTAGTTTTTGAATGGAAACTCCTCGTCGTATCTCTACTTAGCATTGCCTAGTTTTATTTCCATAGGCATGGGAGGTCCCCTTCTGTTGTTGTTGGTAAAGTATGTGATTTACCTAAGTTTTTGTTGTTTTGTTTTTAATGCAGGTCTCCCCACCCCACTTTCAGTACCACAAAATTTTAAATATTAATGGTTTGAAATGCAGCTTTGTGACTAGAATAATGCTTGGCATAGATTTCCAAAAACCAACATTCACTGTCATGGAGTCTCACTTGTAATTATCATATTCCCCACAGGGTTTCTCGGACTGTAAATCTTTATGTAAGCAAACTTATCTTTCTCCCTTAGATCATTGGGGCAAACAATTGACCTTTCAGTTAACAGCTTATTACTTAACCACTGATCCCCTTTTGCACATGTTGTTGTTGTTATTAATTGCCACCGAGTCTGTTCTGACTCATAGCAACCCTCTATAAGATTTCTATTGCCTTACATTTTTTTCCAGGAGCAGAGAGCCTCACCTTTCACTCAAGGAGTGGCTGGTGAGATCAAAATGTAGAACTTGTGATTTGCAGTCCAATGCTTATCATATGGAACCACTGTGCTCCCTTGGCACATAATATGCTCAGACATAACAACAATTGTGAGGATCGGGCAGTGTTCCATTGTATTGTGTACCTTGATAGCACCTAACAACAGGTGCCCAGTAAATGTTTGTTAAATGAGTGAAAGTGACAGGAAATCAAGAAATTATCTTTTGAATCATGCATATTATCTGGGATTACATAATTAAAGCATGTCTGGTCAATTTGAATAGTGTCAAAACTAAGAGGAAATTAAAGTTTTCAAACATCATTGATGTTGTTGTTAAGTACCATGGGGTCAGTTCGAACTCATGGAGACCCTCTACAGGGTTTCCGAGGCTGTAAATCTTTACGGGAGCAGACAGCCTCATCTTTCTCCTGAGGAACAGCTGGTAGTTTCGAACTGCTGACCGTGGGGTTAGTAGTCCAACTCATAACCAGTACACTACCAGAGCTCCTTTAAAACATCATAAAACCTGATAAAACACGTCAGCTGAGTGAATTGGATTGTAAATGTGGTGATGTTGTCTATGACCTTTCCTCTCCTACACCTGGAGTGACACATCCTGGAACACAAGAAAGTTAGCTCTCTGAGATTAGCACATGCTTGGTTTTATGTCTCAGCCAGATTTTTCTTCCTCAGAATTTTCTGGGCTCTTAAACTTTATCTAGATATATCCGCTTTACCACACCTGGTACCCTCCATAGACCACAGCCCACTTTTCTCCAGTAAAGAACTATTTTACAATTGGACATTGTAATAGCAGACTGTTTCTCTGGGGTTTGCATCCTGGCTCTACTCCACACTTGCAATTTATTTCTATTCCTGCTCTTTATTTATAAATTGTGGACAGTCATAAAACCTCCCTCATAAGATCGCTGAAATTATTAATGCATGTAAAGTTACAACAGTGCCTGAATGTTGTTGTTGTTGTTAAGTGCTGTCAGTCTATACAGTTCTGACTCATAGTGACCCTGTATAGGGTTTCTGAGGAGCAGCTGCTGAGTTTGAACCACCAACTTTGCAGTTCACACTGACCTTGCAGTCCAGTACTTATCCTACAGCACCACACCAGGACTCTTGCTACTTTATCTATAAAATGGGAACAATAATAATACCTACCCCATAAAATTGCTGAAATTATTAACATAAGAGTCTTCAAAAAGTTCATGGGGAAAAATTCCATTTTCATTTAATTCCATATTGCCACAAATCTTTTGAAGAACCCATGTATTCTATCTTTTATTAAAAGCACAGTACTTATCCTACAGCACCACACCAGGATAAGCACCGGACTGCTAAACAGAGGTTGGCAGTTCAAACCCACCAGCTGCTCCTTGGAAACCCAATATAGGGCTGCTATAAGTTGGAACTGACTTGGTGGCACTTTTACTGATTGCTTGCTCTGTCCTAAGTGAGCTGTCTGCACTGTCTCCCTAGTGTTACCACAGCCTATGAATGAAAGATTGATATGTCCTGGTGTGACACTGTAGGATAAGCACTGGACTGCTAACCAAATGGTCAGTGGTTCAAACTCACTTACTGTTCCTCAGAAGCTCTACACAAGCTCACTATGAGTTAGAATCAACTCGACGGCACTTAACAATTCCCATTCTGTAACTCAAGCTCACAGATGAGGTAGACAGTAGTTCATCACATTGTCGTTGTTGTTGTTAAGTGCCATCGAGTAGGTTCGACTCATAGCGACCCTGTATAGTGTTTCCAGGGAGCAGCTGGTGGGTTTGAACCTCCGACCTTGTGGTTCGCAGTCCAGTGCTGATCCTACAGCACTACACCAGGAGTTTTCCTCATATTACTAGTGATGAAATTGTGATGGAAATCCACAGTTTGTTCTTAAATTGTATGCTTCGCACACTACATTATTTTGGGAAGAAGCTGAGAAGAGGAACACAGTACTCTTACTATAAGTAAATTAATAAATGTTAATAGATTTCTGCTATGAGAAAAATTTACATATATAGATATAAAGGCTTAGTTCCCAAAAGGCTGAGTATGAAAGGTTGATGAATAAGGTTTCTGAAGTGTCCAATTAAACAAGAGGTAGAAGTTGATTAAATTTTCATAACAATGAATATTTGCAATAGAATAATAAAAAATGCTTGAAGATAAGTGTTTTGTCATAAAAATGATAAATATATTATTAAAAATAAATAGTAAAAAAAAAGAATAATAACTTTAGAAGGTTTAGCCATGTAAATAAAGTAAATCTAGGTATTGAAAGTTCTAGCAGAAAAAAATCATGTTTTAAAATCTTAAAGTCTTTATGCATGGAAGTGATTTTCAGATTAACTGATCTATCAATGATTTGCTTATGAAATCTAGAAAGTAAGAAATGTTTAGAAAATGATTTCTAGATATGTATTTAAAATTTTAAGCATCCCCCCAAAAACTCCAAATGTATTGGTTAATTTAGTAGGACTTTGAATTGTAGATGGTTTCTTTCTCCTTTCCCTTTGTGCTTTGAAACTCTAACAAAGCATTTGGTTACATAAGCCCAAACCACAGGAGTTAGGGTCTCTCCCACACCCCTGTAAGAAGAGACTGGAAAGTGTAATGTACCACCCGGCTGTCGGAAGTCTGAGAGGACTCAGCAACTGCAGACTTTTGTCTCTCTTGCTGGAGAGGTATCTTTGTAGTCTCTGGAGAAAGCTCAGGTAGCTGTTTGTGGCTTTCAGGCTCATGTCCTGAAAGGGGAGCTATCTGAATGGAAAGAGAGGCTGTGTGTGTCTCAGGCACTGTGTTAGGGGACAGTGAGAAAGGCCTTTTGGGAGAAGAAAGCACTTCAGCAGGTTTAGGTAGCTGTGGTGAATTAAAGGGGCCAGTACTTGGCAGATCTGGGCTATGGGTTAGTTTCAAGGTAGAAATTCTCCGAGTTTGAGAATCTTGCATGTAGTCCTCTTGTAGAAATGGGGTACTCATGCCAGTAAATGGTAGGGGGCCTGTGCTGGCCACTGCTGGCAGAGAATTAGTAATTTTTTGTGTATATGACACAGTTGTGTTAGATTCTTCAGAATATACAATTGTCTGTCTGGGATCTTCATTAGAATGCATAGTTCTCTGGACAGGCTTTTGGTTAATGAAGTACTCTATGCTGGAGGGAGTTGGTGCGTTAGTTACTAATTGGTCTAAATTGTCACCCTTTGTATGATTGATTAACAAGGAGTTACAAATACTCTCTTTCCTGGGTGGTGGAAGGGGTGCCTGGATTGCCAATAGTATCCGGAGACAGAAATAATGTTGAAGAAAAAAAACAGAGAGAAAGTCAACATTAGTCATTTAAGAACTCAAGGTCATCCTTGTTCCTAATGAAAGTGAAGCAATGTCATACCTTCTTATTATGCTACACGATTTGTGGGCCAGATTGTTTTTCGTTTCTTTCTGGACACATTTTAATTTATCGTTAACAATTGCTATCAGGAAAAAAATGTTTTTATAGAGGATATATTATAAAGCTTGTTGCCGTGTTTGTTCTGGGAAATCATTTTAGTTAAGTAAACCCATGAATGTTCTCTTGGTATAGTTTTCAACTTCAAAGTTTA